TGAGGGGGAAAAAAACTTCCCAAAGAGCTGAAAAGGAGTGCTGGATCATTTCCCTCCTTGCACAGATGGTGGCAGATGTCTCCATTCAACTTTCAATTGATTTGCTGTTCAAACTGTCTCAACCTCATTAGAGGCATAAACCCTTTAGCTGTTTCAGCTGGCTAAAATTGGGACTGGGATTTCTGGATGCCATGAAGTCTCCTCCTCACCTTTCTTGCACCCATCTAGGCATGGGAATTATGAAAAGGAAAATAGATTCAGGAATGGAAGAACGTTATTTGTTTGCTGTTCAAAAACCACAAGTCATCCCTATTCCCAACTCCATATCATCTGATTTGATATGTCTTGTTTAATTGTTCAGAATATTTAAAAAGAGTGATTTGACTCTGCTGCAACATAAGATATAATAAGTAGTGTGAGATTCCAGCAGTTTTCTCAGAAAAAAACCCCCAACACTCTTAAAATATATTTGGTTAAAAATAAGACAGCTCTGCACAAAGCTATTTTAACAAGATCACTTCTCCCACTTCCTATTTTCTAAATTAGCTGTTCCCACTTCCCATTTTCTAAATTTCTAATTCAAGTACACAAGTGCAAAAATGGACGGGATGCCTGCACTTTTCACAATTGTGCTGAGGAGGCTAGCTGAGCCGGTGTGGCTTGTGTGGCAAGCTAGACCAGCACTTCTTCTTCAAAATGACTAGGAAAAATGCAGGCGCTTTGGAGCTTGACTGCCATCAGGCACCAGACTCAGATCAACTGCCAATATCCTAAATCCTAGCTTTATAAGTTTAGAACCAAGGGCCTTATCTCAAATACAAAAATCTTTTGCAAATGGTTGACTTCAGATTATGGAAACTAGAGCTTAACTCGTCTAAGAGCAGGAGGTGGAAAAGCTGGTTGAGAAAAAGACTTCTATTGATTTGAAAAAAAGCCAGTTTGGTATAGTGGTTAAGACAGTAGGCTGCACAGACCATGAATTCTAATCCCACCTTAAGCACAGAGTCAGTGGAGTGACTTTGAGCCAATCACTCTCTCTGAGCCCTAGGAATGAGACAATAGCAAACCACTCCTAAAAACTTGCCAAGCAAACTGCAGGGATTTGTCATCACTGTCAACACTGACTTGAAGGCGAGAAACAGAGGGACAGAGAGACAGAGAGAGAATTGAGATGGATCAAAACTAGTGATAAGGAGTTGTAGAATAAATTTTTAGACTGCAGATCTATGCACATTTCTCTGGAATTTATCCCAATAAACTTTTAATATACATAAATAATTTAAGATGGCGGTATTAGGATTTAAGCCATTAATAAATGCCACTTCCCATGAATTTAATTCCATTCAATTTTGTTTTTGTCAAGGGCTTCTGTACCCAAATTTTGAAAAATGTAATGTAAATGTAAACAAAAAATCTCCATAGTATGATAACTAACATGAATAGAGTTATGTATTGTGTTAGCAATACCATATTAAACCTCAAAAGTAATTTATACTGAATAACATTTCTAGTCACATATGTGTGAAAATTTGAGCAATGCATGCCCTTCTCATTTCACACCCACACACACACATTAGCTTTGTTGACATTCCTTCAAAAGTAATACTTTGTAAAGAATTAGGATGGGATGTTTGCTAAACTAATTAATTTCTCTGTGAAATCTACCAACCATTAGGTTTCCCTTCAGGATAGCAATAACCATTTCTAGAGTTATAAGAATGTTTAGGATTTCAAAAGGGACAGTCTGCCCCCTAATGGTACTGGAAAACTACTGAATTGAACCAGAACAATGTTTGAAACATAACAGTTTGCTTGATTCCTTTTCCCTTGACTCGCATTTCTCAACAAATTGATCCCTCAGAGTCCTCCCATCTGATCCTAAAAGTAATACATGTTCCCATAGGACCGCAAATGTTCGCTAAGACACAGCCTTCCCTGACCTGATGCCCTCCAGATGCATTGGAGTATAGGTAGTCCTCAACTTCTAGAATGTAAATGAGCCCAGAAATACAGTTGTAAGTTGTGTTGGTCGTTAAGTGGATCATCATATGACTCCACTTAATTTTACACCCTTTTTTGCAGCAATCAATAAACAAACCCATTTTCTGCAATGGGCGTTTTTTGCTGGAAACTCGAAGTAAACACCTTTTTCCATATACCGGTATATGTGTGTATGTACATATGTGTGTGTGTGTATAACACTTGATGGCAGTGAAAATTCCTTTATCTCTTTATTGCCATCTGGTCCAATGTTTAATTGACATAGATAATAGAACCTAGATTGACAGAGGCTTGTTCCTCTAGCATATTTAAATGAGAATGTGCTGTGGGAACACTAAAAAGAATTGACCTATTCAACTAACTATGGGAGTTATATTTAGCTCTAAAGAGACCCACTCATGGCTAAACTAAGTTTATTCAGTAATTCCTGTCATAGAACACCTAAGCCCTATCGACTGATTTGTACATACTTTGTCTTCCAAGAAAAATAGTTGGGAAACAAAGAATGGCTGATAAAACCAGTTCCTTTTTCTTATAATTTTGCAATGGCTGATTAATTACACCAAACAAGTAACAGTTACTGTTGGCCAACCAGCCAAGAGAGAACGTGCTAGAGTTGTTATTTAGCCTTATAACAGTACATTGCTGATACACTGGTTCATGTGATACTACAGTAGGCACTTCCTGGAGAAAGGAGGATCTTCAAGAAATCCAAAGCAAGTAATTTTTGACTCAATATGTTTCTATGCTATCAGAACCATTGTGACGTTAGGCAGGATATTTGAAGTTATGCCAACATGGCAGTACAATACATTTACCATGCAAGATGAGCACCCCACAGGCTATTCTTTCATCTTGTTATCTATAGAGGACCCCAGAATACATAAATGAAATTAGGTTGCAAAATACTGATTGTCAGCAGAATAGGGTGTTTGCATTTTTTGATCTTCCCCGAGTCTTATTATTATTTGCTTCCTAGAAAATTCTGAATTCTCTCAAACATTGTTGAAGACAACACTCCAAATTTTACAAATTTTATATTGCAAATCTAGAAGCAGAATCCTATGTTTTGTTTACTGAATAGTAGAAAATCAAAATGAGGCATTATTGTCTTAGCTGCACACATCTAACAACCTATTTCTTTCTCTCCTTTCCATTACTTTTTCTTTGGTTAAAATCAACTCTGTTGAGAAAGAGAGAAAAAGAAAAGAAAAAGGAGAAAATTGTGGAACAAAAAAAAAGGATTCTTTCTTTTATATTATAGTCATTCATTGATTTAGTCGCTTTGATGGGCTCTAGGACGTTCCAGTCAGTTTAAAATTAACATGAAATGTAATCCTCAACATTCGTTTAGTGACTGTTCAAAGTTACAACAGCACTGAAAAAAAAATGATTTGCAACCAGACTTCACACTTACAACCATCACAGCATCCCTACAGTCACATGACCAAAGTTTTGGGACTTGGCAACTGGCATATATATTCATGATGATTGCAGCATCCTGGGGTCATGTGATTGCCATTTGTGAACTTCCCAGCCATCTTTTGACAAGCAAAGTTGGGAGGGGAAGCCAGATTAGCTGAATTGACTGCATGTTTCACTTAACAACTGCAGTGAACCACCATGGCAAAACAGGTCGCAAAATTGGGATCGGCTCACTTAACAATCAGTTTGCTTAGAAATGAAAATTCTGGTCCCAATTGTGGACAGATGTAGAGAATTACTTGTATACTTGTTTGATCCAGCTCTTGTCACTCTCCCTGCCCAGATGCAGAGCTCCAGCCTTTATTCCAAGAATTCTGCTCAAATTCCAGAACTGCTGGAAGAGCATTAATGTATGTGTGCATTCAAGAGAAGAAATAATAGTTCTGTGTGCTATTTTTTTTTCCTGTGACACAGAAGCCTATCAAAGGACACTAGCTCCCCTAAAAGCTCAGCTAACACACACCTATTCAAGGATCCACTTCAATGCTCTAGTTTAGATCAAGGAATGTCTGAAGGCTACAGAAGTGAGTTAGGGACTCAGATAAAGGGTTGATTTACCTTCTCCTAGCTAGCTAGATCTACCTCTACCTCAGACTGCCTCTCAGATCTGGAGACAAACAACAGAGGAAAAGGCAACAGTGGCAATACCCTACAGGCCAGGAAACTAGTTCTGATTGCCATCACTAGGTGGCAATAGAAAGGACTGCATACCTATATTAAGCTGTCTGCACATCGGAGAAGGATGTTTTATGTGGATTGGAAGCAGTTTATACAACTTGCTATATTGTTCTTTCTGCTCAGCCAGGTGTCATTCCTTCAATAAACAGAATATTTAGAATCGCAGATTGGCTCCTTTTATCTTGGATACAGCCATTGGATTGGCTCTGGTCTTTCAACTTCAAAAACATAACCCAAACAACTTCCGTTGCATGATTGAAAAAGCGCTCATAAAATCAGTATTTTGATCATTTCGTGACCCGCTGACCAGAAAGTAGGTTTCTTCTCTCATGGGAACTTTTTGCAATTCTTGGCAGATTTGTTTATAAACGTGGAAGCTAACCGCGTGCATAATTATGTGCGCTCAAATTTTGACAGTGCCATTTTCTCTCATCCCGAGGATGTGGATTCGAATTCAAAGCACTAATTAGCTGGCTTTCGGTGGCAAAACCCAGTGAACAGTGACCTTAAATCTAAAATATTAAAATAATCGCGCATCAGCAATTTTCATTGGGGGGGGGGGGGAAGGAACACGGATACAACGGGAATAGAAGCAAATGTCAGATTAAATTACTGCAGATAGGAAAAGTACAATAGCACATAAACACGCTATACGTGAACCGTATTTACCGATGTTGGAAAAGAAATACATTTACGTGTTGATAGGAGGAAGGGGTATTAGGATTCTCCGCCTGGAGTTATTTATAAAAAAAATCGGGGTGGGATAAAAAAAAAGAACAATAGTTTTGAGACCAAGCTCTTTTATGAGGAAGTGGATGGCTCTTAAAAGAGCCTTTGGGTTTTTCGGTCGCCTTACTGCGCAGCGCAGCCGCCTCTCACTTGGAGCTGGTGTATTTGGTGACGGCCTTGGTGCCTTCCGACACGGCGTGCTTAGCCAATTCCCCGGGCAGCAGGAGGCGCACGGCCGTCTGGATCTCCCGCGAGGTGATGGTCGAGCGCTTGTTGTAGTGGGCCAGGCGGGACGCCTCCCCCGCGATGCGCTCGAAGATGTCGTTCACGAACGAGTTCATGATGCTCATGGCCTTGGAGGAGATGCCGGTGTCGGGGTGGACCTGCTTCAGCACCTTGTAGACGTAGATGGAGTAGCTCTCCTTCCTGCTCTTGCGCCGCTTCTTGTCGCCCTTCTTTTGGGTCTTGGTCACCGCCTTCTTCGAGCCCTTTTTAGGCGCGGGGGCGGATTTCGCCGGCTCAGGCATTCTAGATAACAGATCACTGTTCTTCACACGGTAAATAAAAAAAACAAGAGGGAACTCTGAAGAAGGGGAACCGATCGCGTCCCTTTATTTATAGTCTCTCTATGCAAATGAGAGGATCCAAAGCGCCACGATGTTATTGGCCGAAGGAGCTTTGATATCATCGCTCCTGCTCACGCACATGCAAATGAGAGCCCTGCAAATGCCCGGATTTCTATTGGGTAGAAACTGCACCTGCGCTTCCTACTGGTCGCCTTTAAAGCTTGCATTCTTATTGGCGTTAAAATCCTGGTGACAGGTTTGGCCAATCAGGAATGGTGCTGGCGTACGCGAGGAGGGGATAAAAGGAGTCGGTTGTTCTCTTCCCTTAATTGCTATTTTATTTTTTCTTCCGTGTTTGAGCTGAGCTGAGTCAGTGTCGCAATGTCAGGACGTGGCAAGCAGGGGGGGAAAGCTAGAGCTAAAGCTAAATCTCGCTCCTCTCGTGCTGGGCTCCAGTTTCCCGTAGGTCGAGTTCACCGCCTTCTTCGCAAGGGAAACTATGCCGAGCGGGTTGGTGCTGGAGCCCCTGTTTATCTTGCTGCAGTGTTGGAATATCTGACAGCTGAAATCCTGGAGCTGGCTGGAAACGCTGCCCGGGATAACAAGAAAACTAGAATAATCCCTCGCCACCTCCAGTTGGCCGTCCGTAACGACGAGGAGCTGAACAAGCTACTGGGAGGCGTTACTATTGCCCAGGGAGGAGTGTTGCCCAATATCCAAGCTGTGCTACTACCCAAGAAGACCGAGAGCCACAAGGCCAAAGGCAAATGAACCTATCCCTCCTCTTAACATCAGTGTAACACATAAAAAGGCTCTTTTAAGAGCCACCCACGACATCAAAAAAGAGCTGTTACTTTGGGTTGTTTATACGATATACACAGAAAACCCCAAGTTCAGGTTCCATCACCACTGGGTGCCCAAATTAACTTCCTTAAGCATTTGACAACACTTGCAGCTTTGTAAAAACAGTGATTGTAGCTCTCTATTGAAGCAGTGGGTGGCCCTTAAAAGGGCCTTTTGATTTATTTTGAAAAGCTCGTTAAAATATTTAACCACCAAATCCGTACAGAGTGCGGCCTTGGCGTTTCAAAGCATACACCACATCCATGGCAGTCACAGTCTTTCTCTTGGCGTGCTCGGTGTAAGTCACGGCATCGCGGATGACGTTTTCAAGGAAGACCTTTAGCACCCCGCGAGTCTCCTCATAGATCAAGCCAGAGATACGCTTCACTCCGCCACGACGAGCCAAACGGCGGATAGCAGGCTTAGTGATGCCTTGAATGTTATCTCGCAAGACTTTGCGGTGGCGCTTTGCGCCTCCTTTTCCCAAACCCTTTCCGCCCTTTCCACGACCAGACATCTCACCGTACAATAAGAGCCGAACCCTTACAAAGTGTTCGCCTTCTAGCTCACGTTTATATTAGTTGCTTTCCGACCAAAAGGAAAACTGCCGCGAAGATGGGAGATGACAGCCCAGTCGTCCAATTTGATAGGGCGATGCTACAGGGCCTTGTCCAATAAGACTCGGCCTCATTTTAAAACAGCGAATGACGGATGGTTAACTCAATGCATTTCAAATTGCAAAGGTTAGATGTTCCAAGTAGTTTCATAATATAGGCTGTAAAATAATATCCAGACTGTCAGCTCACTTTTATGGAAGTACAATATTGCAGGCATTTAGCCTCCTTCTTTTAACTAGAAGTGGCTGTTTTGTTTTGAAACATATCTTGTATGTGCAATAAACACATAAGTGATTGAATCAAAAAAAACTGTTGGGATTTTTAAAATAATTTTTAATCTTAACAGTTTTGCTTGTGTTGTTTCTCTTCAGAAAAACAGGCGGGATCTAGAAGCATTTCAATCAAGCAGCTGATAAGGTAACAAACTGACAAACTATCGATCAGGAGCTGCATGATGCAGTTTGATACAAACGAATTGCAAAGCAAATATGTATCTATTGCCATAGCTCGACAGAAACAACTGTTTTTCTTAGATTACTTTGAATTTTAGACAAAAAATAAGCAGTAAAGAATGAAATACAAACGCACACCTTGCAGAGTCTAGTGTACAAAACACTAACTTGTATATAGTCAATTTGGAATGCAATTACTTCCGAAGTGAAGGACAGCAACATTTATGCATCCAATTCAGCACTAGGGATATCCAAAGGGAAAGAATCGACCAGGCTTGGCTTTATACACTATAAAGGCAACAATAGGGTTTGTTCATAAGCCTGCGGCTCTCCCTCGCATACCAGAAAAGGTAGTTCCAGCAGTTGCACAACTCTAAAATTCGCAGCTGCATGAATAATTGCTTCTAATCTCTAGCTTTTCCTGTTACTGCAGCATTCAGAGATCACCTCCGGCGAAGGCGCGTATGCAAATTGCGGCCCTCGCTTTCCTACTGGAGGAAAAGCAATATTTCTCTAGTCAATTGGTCCTGCTGAGAAACCACGTTTGCATTGGCTGAGGTGCGTTGACGTCACAGTCAGCCAATCAGAAGCGCCGCTTTCAAACGGTGAGGCAGGCATAAATTGGCCCCCGCCTTTCTCGTCAATTAGGGGATACTTTTGCGTTCGTGGAGAAAAAGAGCAACTCGTTTGAGGAATGTCTGGTCGCGGCAAGCAGGGAGGCAAGGCCAGAGCCAAGGCCAAGTCTCGTTCTTCCCGAGCCGGACTCCAGTTCCCGGTCGGTCGTGTTCATCGCCTGCTGCGGAAAGGTAACTACGCCGAGCGGGTGGGCGCCGGCGCTCCCGTCTACCTGGCGGCGGTGTTGGAATATCTCACGGCAGAAATCCTGGAGTTGGCCGGAAACGCTGCTCGGGACAACAAGAAGACCCGTATTATCCCCCGCCATCTGCAGCTGGCCATTCGCAACGACGAAGAGCTCAACAAACTCCTGGGCAAAGTGACGATCGCTCAAGGGGGCGTGTTGCCCAATATCCAGGCGGTCCTCTTGCCCAAGAAGACGGAAAGCCATAAAGGCAAATGACCTGCTGTTGCCCGACGGGCAAGTGCTTCGGAACTGAATCCAAAGGCTCTTATTAGAGCCACCTACAACCTTTAAGAAAGTGCTGATCGTCTCTTCCTCTCTTCGAAATAACATTTTGTTTGCTCTAGCATTCCGAATAATCGTCAAGTCGTCAAACAGCTTGTAATAACGTGGTCCTGTTTTTTAAGTGTGTGTCTCAAGGCATTGATTTTTATCTGGTCTACAAGTTAGAATCTGTTCCCATCCTAGCCCCTTGTTCCCCAAAGGGGGATTTGTGGGACTGAGAGATTAGAGGGAAACTCCTAACGAAATTATGCATGACTGAAAATTATGCCGACTTGAATCTGGGTGAGTCACCCAAGTGTTGTCAGGTAGAACTGACTTTTTAACTACGCAGTTGACCAGACCTGCAAGTAATTTAACATTTGTTGTTTTTTTTGAGGGTGGAGAAGGCTCTGCATGTTTCAGTAACTGGAGGCAACATTACCAGCCATTAATATGGCTCGAAGGTCTGGAAATTGTCCAAAATGTGGTAGTAACATGTATGTACATTGAACAAGATCAGGCATACACAACCCAAACCAGAAGACAAAATTATCTTTCAGTTCTATATTTCCCCAAAGCAGCTCTTGAGTTCAGAAAAAAACCAGACTGGTGATTATTCTCAGTGGGGAAAAGTCAAGTGGGCATCTTCACTTTGCATTTTTGGTTTTGCAAAAAACAAAAACCTGAGCTGAAAAACAACCACTAAAAAATCTCCCAAGGAGTTCTTCGCCTCTTGCACTAGTGAGATCTGTCTCTTTCTCTCTCCCCTCCCCTCTTGTGTTAGCTGCAGGAATCAAATCAGAATTACCATCCTCAGAGCTGTTTTTCCTTCAAGTCTATGACTTTGGATGTAGTTTGGCAGCAAGCCATTACCTGGTATTGGTCTGTTTCCATGGAAATGGTACAGTTCAACACCCCAGCAGGTTTGGAGATTTGGATATTACTGGAGTGGAAAAGAAAAAGTTCCAAAACCAATGAAAGGTTGTTCTCTTCCACCTCCCTCCCCTCCCTCCACATTTAATTGGTCTTCAGAGGGAGGCAAACTGGGTTGGAAAGCACCATAACAACACTCCTGGGAATATACAAGTTACATTGTCCCCAGCTTAAACCTATCTTTGGAGCTGTCTAGTAAATAAAAAGGGGTATTATTGAAGAGGGTTGTGCTGAGGTGGCCTAATGGGATTAAGTCAAATAAACACTATCTTTCACTAGAAAAGGTTTATCTTCCATCAGGCAATGTGTTTTTCAGAATGAATAAGAAGCAGGTATCACCATACCCAGCCATGGAAAGTTAGAGGGTAACCTGACCTAAAGCCAATTAGCCCCCCCCCCTTTTTAAGGGCAATGTTTGTGGGGGGGGGGAAATCAGAGGATGGAGGGGTATGTGCAGTATATCTCCCAGTGCCCTGCCCTCTTGGAATTCAGGTCATTGTGACTGTCTCAGTCAGTTCTTGAGGACAGTGAGTTTACATTAGCACATTATACTTTTGTGCACTATCTTGGATAAGCTTTTAAGTGATGAAAAGTACTTTAGAAGATGGGTATGGAAAAAAAATAATGAAAACAAACTTGCAAAAATCATCTAAGGAGGATCATGTTTGCTTTCAAGGCCATCTATGGTAAATAAAATGCCTTGGTAGGCAACCTAAGTCCAATCAAATTTGGTCTTAATTACTGAGCAACCTCCTGCCCTCCCAAATTTATTAGATAAAAATGCAAGTACTCCTTGTTTAGTGATCACAGTTGGGACCAGCCACTTGGTTGTTAAGAGAAGCAGTCTCTAAGTGAACCTACATCTATTTTGAGGAGTTTCAGCTTTACAGCCCTCGGAAAGTTGCAAATGTGAGGACAGGTCATAGAGTTAATTACTCTCTTGTGAGTTATGATTTTAGGATTAAAGAATTCTAGCCAAGAAACGTTATTAAAAACCGAATGAAGGTCTTGCACTCTCAAATTTGCTCCTTTGTATGCCAAGTTTCTTTCCACTTTTGTGAAATGAATTAGGAGTGATGGATGGTAAGTCAGTTCACTGCGGGTATTACCGGTACTACGATGCAATAGGACAAGACTGAACAAAACAAGGTTGATCCTTCCCATCCCAGAACAGCTTCTGATTAAACTTTGGGAAACTGCAAGCTTGTGAAGTAAAAGGAAGCGAATCATTTCTGACATCAGGAAAATGATATATCAATAGTCTTGAAACATTCCCATTTGCAAATTAATGTTTAGAGTCTGGATTGTAGAAAATTGTGGTAGAGAATATAATCATGAATTTGAGATGGTTGGCGATATGAATAGATCTAACAAACAAAATGGAGACTGCACTCTTTTTCTGTCTGTCTTTTGGTCATGACCAGGGCAAACTAGTTCCTCTTTTTACCTAATCTTATCAGACCCAGATTGACTCTTCCTGCCCCTCCAGACAAAGCTCCCTGAACCAAAGAATAGAAGCCTCCTTATCAACTCACAGAGCAGCCCAAGGGCAGCCCTAACCAGAGAGTTGCAACATAGTGAGGAGACGGATGAGATACCCCAATCTTCCCTCCTCCATCAGTGGATGACCTCAGGATTCTGTTTCCTTTAACAATGGACTTGCTCACTTCTGTTCACCTAACAATAGAAATGACAACAGGTAGATGGACAAAGATCTCTGTGGCATCCTCAAAACTAGGATTTCCTGCATTGTAGCCTTATTTTTTTAAAAAAAATATTTGCTTGGTTTGGGGTTCCTCTTTTTCTTCAGTGTGCTCTGGACTTCTGAATTTCCCACAACAATTACTTGCAGTATTGCTTTAGGGAACCCCTGGACAAGAACAGGATGGGAAGATCTGTCTCTGCCTTTTCTCAAAGCAAAGATAAATCACAAACAGTACCTCAAAGATGTCTGCTGAAGATACATGAGATAGTAAGGAACAACATGGGGGATGCGTTCCTTTCACTTTGCATATGGAAAAGAGGGTTTATACTCAGCAAGCTGGGCTGGCAGCTCTTCCTATTTACATTTCCTTTCAAAACAGTCATCATGTGCTAGCCTGTAATTATGGAGTCCTTTACAGATCTGGATTATATGTCTTTCATTTTTAGTTACAGATAGTCCACGACTTACAATAGTTCGCTTAGTGACCGTTTGAAGTTACAATGGCTCTGAAAAGAGTGGCTTATGACCATTTTTCACACTTATGACTATTGCAGCATCCCCCCCCCCCGTAACATGATTTACATTCAGATGCTTGACTGACTCACATTTATAAATGGGTGCAGTTGTCCCGGAGTCATGTGATTCCCCTTTTGCGACCTTCTGACATGCAATGTCAATGGGGAGGCCAGATTCACTTAACATCCATGTTACTAACTTAACAATTGCAGTGATTCAGTTAACAATCGTGGCAAGAAAGGTTGTAAAATGGGCAAAACTCCCTTAACAAGTCTCCCTTAGCAACAGAAATTTTGGAGTCAGTGATTCACTTAAGAAATGTGGCAAGAAAAATCATACAGTGGAGCAAAACTCAAGTTAACAAATGTCTCACTTAGCAACATAAATTTTGGGCTCAACTGCGGTCGTAAGTTGAGGGTTACCTGTATTTGAACTTTATAGTTCAGATGCAAAACACTCAAGGGAAGATAGAAGGGGTTTAGAACCACTCCCGTTCTTCGAAGCAGATCTTCTGCGCATGCTGAAATGCTAGTCTAGTTTTCTGAAGGATGGGGAAAAAAGCAGTTTCAAAGATCTTAGGCTCCACGTGCCAAAGTCTCATCCAAAAGATGGTTTCAAACCTTCTATCGCTTGCATAATAATCTCCTGTTATGAGAGGCCCAAAGTCCATTAAGGAAAAGCAAGTGCCTCTAAAAGCAAGACACATTTCCAACAAATTCATTGATGGCAGACTGCCAATTTGCCTATATTTTTCAATCATGGCTGTGAACTGCAGCCAGCATGGATAGAATAGCGCTATAGAAACAAGTCTGCACATTGTCTACATTAGAGGTAAGCAGCAGCTTATTGGTCACTGATAAAGAACAAATGCTGGACGAGATGGATATTTGATGTGATAAAGCTTCTGAATGAGGTAGGCATTCTGAGGTCTGTGGATATAAATCACTTACATAATGCCCCAGAATCAGAGTCACCCTGATTTTTTTCTTTTAAAATTATCATTTTAGTATATATATATTTTAAAAAAACCATTCTACAAGGAAAAGTATAATGACACAGCCCCAAAGCTCCTACTGATATAGTAGAGATCCTCCTGGAAAAGTAATTCCTATGAATTTTATTTTATTTACTGTACAGCATCTACAGAGGCCATGCAATCACTGGTACACAAATATAAGTTTAATTCGTATAAATATATGTATGCATTTAACTAGCTTTGCCCATCAAGTTATTTTGAGAAAATGCAAATCTCCTACAGTAACTGTCCGGGGCAGAGTATATGTTGTCAAAATTCAAACAATATCTCCTGTCTCAAATAGGCTGCCCAACACTAGCACACAAGCCTGTTATTTAAAACCTGCTCCTTACAAACTAACTGCAACTGGTTTATACGAGAACGTTATTGAAAAATGGGACTCGGATTAAAACCTTTACAAAGCTGACCTAGAGAAGCAAAACTATAATCATATACATGCTTATCAAGATGCATGTCTTTCATCTGAAAAGCTTTTCTCCCTTCTAACTTCTACAAAATTATATGCAGCCCACTCATCCTACAATGAAATCTCTGGGTATTCTTTCCTTAGAGGAAGAATTGGCTATCATTGTGACCGATCCACCTGAATTCCCATTTTATTTTTACAGCCAAGCTAGTGCCCCAGGACAGGTATTGGATAGAATGCAGACATTTCACTGCCAGCATTAATATGGCCACACACAGAGAAAGCCTATTGGAAAAATTCTGAACTCATATGAATTGAATTCATCAGATTTAAAAAAAATATTCTGAAGCAAGCACTAATTCTCTTAAAGGTATTAATCTCCAGTGGCACTGTAGCATTTTAAAGTTTTACAAACATTTTTACATTGAGATATACTGTACTGTGTGAACCATTGCAACAGGTTACTCAAAACATTTGAACATGTTTCATTGGCTCAAGTCATGAAAAATACTGTTCCTCATTAAAAAAAAAAAGAATGCCCATAGCCCCCCCCCTGTTCAGGTCACTTTCCATAACCCAGTTAAGTTAGTAATGTGGGTGTTGAGAAAGCAGACCACTCCGTGGTCCGCTAAGAATCCCTTGCCACGTTGAATACGCATTTGCAAGTTCAAATTTTGGAGAGGCCAAGACTGCCGGGAGTAATGATAGTACTATAGCTTTAACCAAAAGTAGTATAAACCTCCTCCTAACAGGTCCACGTGTACGCTACAAACCGCGGTAGCCGTTTTCAAAAGAAGCGGAAGCGAAGTAGCTCTTTTCTTGATATACGTGAGTGGCCCTTAAAAGAGCCTTTGGATTGCTTTATTGGCGAGAGGAAACTTAAGCTCTCTCCCCGCGGATGCGGCGCGCCAGCTGGATATCTTTCGGCATAATCGTCACCCGCTTGGCGTGGATGGCGCACAGGTTGGTATCTTCGAAGAGGCCAACGAGGTAAGCCTCGCTGGCTTCCTGCAGGGCCATAACGGCGGAGCTCTGGAAACGGAGATCGGTCTTGAAATCTTGGGCGATCTCTCTGACCAGGCGCTGGAAGGGGAGCTTACGGATGAGCAGCTCGGTCGATTTCTGGTAACGACGGATTTCTCTTAAGGCGACAGTGCCGGGGCGATAACGATGAGGCTTTTTCACCCCACCAGTGGCTGGAGCACTCTTTCGGGCAGCCTTGGTTGCCAACTGCTTGCGAGGAGCTTTTCCTCCGGTAGACTTTCGAGCGGTCTGTTTAGTACGGGCCATTGTTCGCCTATAGAGCAGCCAATCCCGCCGAAGTAGAAAGCAGAAAATAAGACTAGCCCCTAGAAGGCTGAGTATTTATAGCCGAGTCCTCCTCTCTTGATTGGCTGAGCGCGTTCGAATTTCCCGGGCTCGGAAGGGATTGGCTACAGTGTTTCGCTGTTTCTTCTCTTGCCTCTTTTGTACTCGAATGGATACGTCAGCAAACAGGACATTCAAATTCTTTCTGCTCTGTGTAATAGTGTTCTCACAAATAATACCTTGCAGATAAAGGGTTCCTTTCTGCGCTGCAGAAATCCGGACCATCGATAGATGGCAACAAGGATTTTTTAATGCCTCTCTATAGGTTAGTTATCCATGTTTTTGCAACCCAGATTTTGAAAAAAACTCCAAGGTATTTTTTGTGTATTCATCTACTTAGCGAGGACGAATATAATTTGCAAAAGTGTTGTTCTAATTTTGAATTGGTGAAAATGTTTAGCAGTTGTGGAAATAGCGTGTGGCACAAACGAGACCCGGAAATTAATTCCTCGTCAGCCACAGAAATTTATGAATGATCGGGGTCAGCCCGATCTACCTACTTCGCAGGGTTGTTGTAGAGAAAAATGAGAAGGGAGAAGACTATAAACTCTCCATTTTTTGTGCATCATTCCTACATAAAAAGATATTTAATAAACGCATGTCACCAATAAGCCCAATGTGCTTTCCTATATTGCCTAAAAGAATGGGAGAGCATCTTAACTTCTATAGCAATTGTTTATTCCAAGTTTATTCCATTTTATATTTTTTTCCGTTTCATTTTTCCCATAATTTAAGCACTTGTTATGTAGAATAAATAGTTTATTAATTGATTAGTCACGACCTGGTTATATAGTTTTTCGTTATGCTCCGCTGGCATACAATTTACACTACTTTGGCTGATCTCTAAAAATCTGTCAAGATCGGCTGCTATGGGCAGAAAAGGCCAGAAAGAGCAACTACTTTCACATTGTTCCCAAAATCTGCATGGACGCACCCATGAAAGCTCCACGCAGGTCGATCGGGTTTTCCTAGAAGTGGGGCGCTCCGTGTTGCTCTTTCTCAAGCATAAAATTGTACTATTACGAAGCAATGAGATCACTTTTCTAGGTCCGAAAGATTTTATACACACACACACGCACACACATATGTATACCTTTCTGGTCATCTCAACAGCGATTTATTTTTCAAAATGGATTTAATACTGAAAAAAGGGGTTCTACGGTTAAGTGTCCTTTGGTGAGTTACGGACCAGAATTTTAGATTAAGAGGTTCCCCGAAGGAAGACGGCAGAGTCTGAACAATTCCGCCGGACACGGCGATTGGTTAAGATTACCTCCATATCCGAACCCTTTTATACTTGCTAAGCGGTAGAGGGTTTGGAATGTAACAGCTGAAGCCTTCTGTATAACAGGTGATTTTTTCTAGATCTGAATCAATATTTGCCAACATACGAAGCCCTGGGCTAGGGAAGTGCCAACTCCGATATGCTTTGGATCTGAAAAGGAAACACTTATTCGATACTCTAGACTCAGCTCCTTACTTGAAATTGTAGGTGGCTCTGAAAAGAGCCTTTGGGTTTGAAATTCAATGTTCTTTTCTTCACGGCAACTTCTATTTTCCTTTCGCTTTATGGCTTTCCGTCTTCTTGGGCAAGAGGACCGCCTGGATATTGGGCAACACGCCCCCTTGAGCGATCGTCACTTTGCCCAGGAGTTTGTTGAGCTCTTCGTCGTTGCGAATGGCCAGCTGCAGATGGCGGGGGATAATACGGGTCTTCTTGTTGTCCCGAGCAGCGTTTCCGGCCAACTCCAGGATTTCCGCCGTGAGATATTCCAACACCGCCGCCAGGTAGACGGGAGCGCCGGCGCCCACCCGCTCGGCGTAGTTACCTTTCCGCAGCAGGCGATGAACACGACCGACCGGGAACTGGAGTCCGGCTCGAGAAGAACGAGACTTGGCCTTGGCTCTGGCCTTGCCTCCCTGCTTACCGCGACCAGACATGACGTCGTTCCTGAGTCAAGTGCAACACACCAAGCGCCCAACACAAACCGGCAGTGGTTAGAAATGAGCGAACTGGGGGCTTTTTATGCCTTTCCAAGGTCTGAAATTGCAATGTTTGATTGGCTGTTCAGGCGCCAGGCTTTCTTAGCCAATACGAAGGCAGGTTTGTCAACATAACCAATCGAACGACGTGAAACGGACTCCTTCCAATAGGAACCATAGTATCGCAGTCCTCTTCATTTGCATCTGCGCGCGCAGCCAAAGGGAGTCGAGGTTATAGCAGCCAATGAGAACGTTGGAGTGCAGCTACCCTTATTTGCATAGGAGGCCTTTAAATAGTGGGAAGCCGGACGTTGAACTTGTTTCAGTTCTGTTTGAGATACGCGGAGTGTCTTGTTTTCCGGACGGGAAGGAAGTTTGTTTACTTTGCTGTTCCCATTAGCATTTGTTGGAAAGTACCTTATTCGCAATGCCTGAACCGGCGAAATCCGCCCCCGCGCCTAAAAAGGGCTCCAAGAAGGCGGTGACGAAGACCCAAAAGAAGGGCGACAAGAAGCGGCGCAAGACCCGGAAGGAGAGCTACTCCATCTACGTCTACAAGGTGCTGAAGCAGGTCCACCCCGACACCGGCATCTCCTCCAAGGCCATGAGCATCATGAACTCGTTCGTGAACGACATCTTCGAGCGCATCGCGGGGGAGGCGTCCCGCCTGGCCCACTACAACAAGCGCTCGACCATCACCTCGCGGGAGATCCAGACGGCCGTGCGCCTCCTGCTGCCCGGGGAGCTGGCCAAGCACGCCGTGTCGGAAGGCACCAAGGCCGTCACCAAATACACCAGCTCCAAGTGAGAGGCGGCTGCGCTGCGCAGTAAGGCGACCGAAAAACCCAAAGGCTCTTTTTAGAGCCGCCCACTTCCTCATGAAAAGAGTTTGAGTCGCTACTTTTGTTGTAGCCTTGCCGACTTAAGCCTTGAAGCTTGGGGGACGTCCCCTCAGATGTTGCTTTTCATTAATAAAATGCAAAGATTGGGCTCTGTTTAAAAAAAAATATGGAAAGATGTATAGGGGAAGAAATTTACATACTAAAGTAGAGGTCGAACTGTATAGCGCAGAAATGATTTATCTCTAGTAACATGCTATCTTTTTAAAAAGTAGATTATCTTGTGCTGAATTTAAATGCAAATAAAAGTGCAAAAGGGTTCCTGGGTTGATAGCATGGCTTCCAGATCTGATCTTGCAGGTGTGGAGTTTTAAGATTTTTTAAAAATTCTTGCCTGTAGCAATTTTATAAATGTGGTGAACACTCTTAATACAAGTAGTCCTTGATTTACAATTTAATGATTGTGGCACTGAAACAAATGACTTGCGACAATTTTCCACACCACCAAAGCAGCATCCCCATGGTCATATGATCAAAATTCAAACACTTGGCAACTGGCTCATATTTGTGATGGTTGCAGTGTCCTGATCACCTTTTGTGAGCTGGGAAGCAGATTCACTTAACAGCCATGTTACTAACTTAACAATTGCAGTGATTCAGTTAACAATCATGGCAAGAAAGGTAAAATGGGCAGAACTCCCTTAACAAGTCTCTCTTAGCAACAGAAATATTGGAGTCAATTGTAGTTGTAAATCAAGGACCACCTGTCCTCCTTTTTCTCCTATTTTCTCCAACATTCTTGTGAGGTGGGTTGGGCTGAAATTGAATGACTTGACGCAATGTCACCAGATTAGATTACACTCTTAAGGCAAAAGTAAAGATTCCTGGTTTCTAGCCTAATGCCTTAACTTCTAGACCAGACTGGATTTTCTACTCCTATGTAAGCTGTACTGAGTTGGTGACCTAAATTCATTAAATATAAAGAGTAAGAAAGGGAGAAACACCTTCCTCTGTATTTCAGTTATTAATTTTTTTTAATTCTCAGGAGCTCACTATGGTTTGATTATGAGCTATCAAGTCAGTGTTTTCTCTCATCCATGCAGGTGAGAGATCCTGTCTCTTCCAATCTTCCAGCAGTGAACCCCCATCATGGCTGTAATTGAGTTGATCCACTTGCTGCTGGTTATCCTCTTCTCCAGCATTATGGATTTCTCCAGAAACATAGGTCTTTGCATAATGTGTCCCAAATGGAACAGTTTGAGCCTGAGCATGTCCATCTCAACTGAGAACTCTGGATTGATTTGTTTTCTGGTCTATCCATGGCATTCTGAGGAATCTTCTCTAAGTTCAAAAGCATCAATAATCTTTCTATCCTGCTTACAGTATCACGTGGAAAACCACTGCATGCATGGTTCTGATCTTCTAACTGTAGTTGCATTGTGGCAACTGAATATTTTTTCCAAGGCCTTCATTGTTACCTATCAAATGCTGCCCTGAGGCATATTTCTTGATAACTGGTTTCATTGTTGTTGACAGACAATCCTAAAAGGCAGAAGCTATCCATTACTCCAGCGTTTCCATTGTCAATTCTAAGGCTGATGGCTAATCTATTATTAGTTTAGTCTTTTAATTTAATCATAGTCCAAACATGTTGCAGGAATCCAAATGAGCAGTGATGGGGTCATGAGCTTATGATCAATTCAGGAGAAAAAAAAAAAGTATTTTATTAATTTGATTTATATGCCTCCCCCTATCTCACCCTAGCAACTTTGGACAGCTAACACCATATGAAATATAAAACAGAGAACATATAAAAAAATCTATAATGGCAACATAATCATCAATAAATTATTGTCTCACAGGCTCCAACCAACTTCGTGACCTTCCTGTCCAAATCAACATCCAGAGCTTTCAAGTTTTCCAAAAATGCAATGGTACATTGAGGCAGGTTTCTTTTCCATTCATCCCACTGCATATAATTAATTCAAATATATTTTTGTCTAACAGGCTAGCTGGAAAGTAAAATGCAAAAAAGAAAATGTTGATGGGATGACTGCTATAGAAATCATGGAATCTCTGTTTTGCCATAGTATTAATCTTCATATATACAAATACCTCTAATTCCATTTTCTTGAGCACATGTTCTCCTCAGGGCTGCGTCCTAAGTCTGCTGCTGTTCACCCTGTTGACCCATGACTGTTGTATTAGGTTTGCCACCAACCATATTGTGAAGTTCGCAAATGATACAACAGTAGTGGGCCTTACTCATGATAACAATGAGGGTGCTTACCACAAGGAGGTTGAGGGGTTGGTGAACTGGAGTAAGGAGAACAGCCTAGTTTTAAATACCAGAAAAACCAAAGAAAACATTGTCAATTTCAGAAAAGGCAGGCACAGTGTGTCGTGTATGTGTTGACTTTGAGAGCGGGCAACTAAATTTCATTTTTGTTGTGTGCTGTTATGCCCACAGTAAAAAAAATGACAATAAATGTTATCTTATATAAAATGTAATAAGTTTCAAGTATTCAGATCTGCACTTTATAATAGGCTGGGATGAAGCCATGTCCTGAGATGAGGATATAAATACAGTGTTAATAAAATTATAGGTAACATTTGGTGGCATTCTTTACAGTAGGTGAATCAAACCAAGGTGGATGATTTGATCTAATGTATGTGAAGGAGATGTTGTTTCAGAAATTAAGGTCCAGGCTTCTAGTAGTATAAATCATCTTCCTAAAATGTACTTCCTGTGTTTGAACATCTATAGTGCTAGTATTCAGATCATTACATCTGCTACATTTGCTTTCTTCTCTTGGAACCTGCCAGACTCCTTGATAGATAGTAAACAACCTAAAAAATTATTTCATCCCAAGAAAAATAAGGTTAACATCATTTTTACCAGCAGGGCATTTTTGCCATGTGTTGTTAACACATGATATACTTAAACATAGTTCACACTGAACCTGGCCTTAATAGGACTGTGCTGAATATGAATTTCTGCATTTAGACACTCTGGATTAAGCTAGTTCTTATTGCAACGAGAATGGCATTAGGATTTTTTTTTTAAAAAAATAAATGTTTCTGTGTTATGTGTCTGCATGGTTCTCCCTTGATTTAGTTTAAGAAAATGGATTGGCTTTAAGATGTATCAAGTGAATTTTAATCCAAAATTTAATCTTGGCTCTTCAGTCCAAAACTATTATTTTTACCTCTCCCCAGAGAGCGATGACTGCATTTAGGAAGACTGTCATGCTCCAACATTTAAACTGGAGAGAAAACCAGACTCAATAATGAATACAGTACTTGGATTAAAAAGTACAAGTTTAACAACTCCAACCCATTCTAAAGCATATTAGGTCTTAAATTCATTGCAATGAAAAAATCAAAATAAAAATGTTCTAGCTATGTCTAGATATCTCCTTCTAGAAAGTTTATTTTATGTTGGCAGCATTTCCATTTCAGACAGGAAATCAATGGGTCTGGCTGATACATTTAGTCCAGCTGATCATTTAGTCCAGTATAATCTAGAGGTTAAGATTTTCAACAGAGTTGAAAATGGCAGAAACTAGGCATTTTTGTCTGTCCAGGTTACATTGGAGAGTCGCTGCTACTATAAGCCTAACATGCATAGAGAGAAAAAAGGGAAAACATAAATCTAGCTAATAATATTCCACAGTAGTCTAGCTATGGTTAAGATGGTTTCTGTGACTCTTCATAATGTATAATTCTGAGCAATATGCAAAATAATTTTTGAATTAAATGTAACACAAACTTCAGTCAATACATTCCCATTTTCTTTATTATTGTAGTTACAGAAACAACCTCATTTCCTTTTTTTTTTTTTTTTAAAGCTGGGGTCGGTGTTTTTTTTTTGTTTTTTTTGCCGACTTGTAATTATTTTCTTGTTACAAAGTGATAGAAACTCGTAGGAACAGCAACGGGAAGAGGATTCTGATAAATTTTTGTATCAGTTTTCACACAGTTAAGTTTGTGGCAATTCTGGACTTGATCGGTCCTCTTATGCAAAAACAGTTTCATCCCACCAAAACAGGTTATTTTTCCCCAGAAGGTGGAAGACTATAATTATTCAACTCAACACTTGAGCAATAAGCAATGTCCTTATTCATAAAACCAGAAACAAAAGAAAGGCGCCAACATTTCAGTTTCAAACGGCGGTTTGTCATTGGTGTTTTCGAATTACTTTTCTTTCTCATTGGACAAACCCTGAGGGGCAGAAACCTATGGGGGGAGAGGCTTAGCAGCGTAAAGTAACCGCCCTTCAATGGAAGGTTTCTTTCTGGTCGGGCACTAGAGAATATAACTTCGCTGTTTCCCGGTTTAGAGCACATTTTCTCGTGGTTTTCTGAGCTGAAGGTTTGGTGAAGGCTGAAGAATGTCTGGCCGTGGAAAGGGCGGAAAGGGTTTGGGAAAAGGAGGCGCAAAGCGCCACCGCAAAGTCTTGCGAGATAACATCCAAGGCATCACTAAGCCCGCTATCCGCCGTTTGGCTCGCCGTGGCGGAGTGAAGCGTATCTCTGGCTTGATCTACGAGGAGACTCGCGGGGTGCTAAAAGTCTTCCTTGAAAACGTCATCCGCGATGCCGTGACTTACACCGAGCACGCCAAGAGAAAGACTGTAACTGCCATGGATGTGGTGTATGCTTTGAAGCGCCAAGGCCGCACTCTGTACGGATTTGGTGGTTAAATATTTCAACGAGCTTTTCAAAATAAATCAAAAGGCCCTTTTAAGGGCCACCCACTTTTTCATAAAAAAAGCTGAGTTTCCGCGAGTGCCGTTCCTATGGTTTGTAACCGAGCTTGAATGTTCCCTATAAATTACGACGTGACTGCTAGGAACGAATGCTTCTTAGGGTTGTGGCTGAAATAAACTATGTTCAGCGAAGCGGGGAGCTAAACACGGGCAGTAAAGGCAAAATAAAAAAATGCTTAGAGCATATCTTTGAAGAATCGGCTTAAAACGATTTTCATTTTTTCATCGCACTAAATTTCCGGTTTTCGTTGGTAACTTCAAAATTTGATGCAATCGTTAACCAGACCAACTTAGGTTTATTAGGGGGAATGAAATTTTGGTCCGTATTTTTTTTTTTTTTTTTTAAAAAAGGTTCCTATGAGGTATATATAACCGGATAATAACGTGTATCCTACCAAACAATGGACCTTTCTCTACTGCCGGTAGCTATGCAGGCGTATTTCCCAGCAGTCACGTCCTTTGTTCAAATCCTTTGTTTGCTCAATTGTGATGCAATATTAGAGGTAGCCAATAGGAACCTAAGGGCTGTCGATGAGTAATTTGGTCGCTTACATACGGAGTTTGGTGGCTTTTGTAGTTCCCAAGAAGTGGCAAAGGCAGCGGGATCTTCCTAAAATGCTTGCTTTAGTACCAGATAAAAGAAAGTGACGACACGTGTCCTTGGATTCCAGTTCAGATTTACTCCTTGTGAGAAGACAGCAATCATACCCAACACTTTCTCCCAGGTTTTGTACTTTCTTAATATACTGCTCAAAAAAAATAAAGGGAACATTTTACCATGGAACTGAAGGGGTTTGCGTTCCCTTTATTTTTGTGAGCAGTATATTTTTCTCTCACCTTTCTTCAAAACCGGTTACTTGGCTGTTGAGCCATTAAAGCTCTTTTTAAACAAAAACAAACAACAACCTTGCTTGGGGAACATGTGTTAATGCGTTGTGAGTTGTAGATGATTGGGGTCTTCGTGTTTTGGGATCATTTCCCTGCTGAGGAAAGGGTAGAAGGCAACAGATTCCTCACTAACCCTAGGTAGGATAAACAATGTCTTGTGTGGGCAGAGCCTGAATATGATGTGAGATCTTGTGCTTTCCATCTCTTCTAGTATAATTCTTCACCTAGATGGAGTTATACGTGTTGATGATCAGGAAGCAAGAGAATATAGAAAAACTAAGTGGTTTAACATTGGGAAAAGAATGTACCAAGGCTGCATACTATATAGTGTGTACAATATGTGTTCTCCCCCCCCATATCTATATAGATTGTATCATGAGAAATTCTGGAGTAGAAGAAATAAGAACTGGAAACACAGCTGCTGAGGGAGGTATCAAGAGCTGAAGATATGTGATATACCACTATGGCTGAAAACAAGGAAAAGAAATCTCTTCTTGAAGATGAAAGAAAAGAGTACAAAAAACCAAGCTGCTGCTTAATATTACTATGTCAACAGACAATGCCAAGCCAAAGCAAATAGATGGAGAAGTTGTTATGGTAAAATTACAGATATGTTCCAATCTTTCTAATCCTTAATGTCTAGATTCTGGAGATTCTCAGTCATCCAGGTCATGGTTGTCCCAAAGGTGCCTTTTCAAGAGGCAACTGAACCTTCTTGATTTTTCTTTGAAGATGTTTCACTTCTCATCCAAGAAGCTTCTTCAGTTCTGACTGGATGGTGGGGAATGGAAGGATTTATATTCCTTGCAGACAGTTGATCATTTGCCTTCTTTTAGAGAGTTGTTGAGGCCACCTGGAGGTTTATCTGTGTCCTCAAGGTCACCTGAGTGGTGTGGAGCTGCCTTGGAACTGCTGAAAGGACTGTGTTGTAGACTGGAGATAGATGATGTTGTATCCCTCCCTCTCTGTTGAGAGAGGGCTGTTCAATTTTGAAATAGATGGCCTCTTTGACACCACTTTCAAACCAGTGGTTCTCTCTGTCCAAAATGTGGATTTTGCTGTCTTCAAAAGAGTGGCCTTTGTGTTTTAAATGCAACACAACAGCAACAAAGAGGGAGAGGAGGAAGAACAGGAAGGACCTAGATCAGGGGTAGGCAACCTTGGCTCTTTTATGACTCGTGGATTTCAACTCCCAGAATTCCTGAGCCGGCATGGCTGGCTCAGGAATTCTGGGACTTGAAGTCCACGAGTCATAAAAGAGCCAATGTTGCCTATCCCTGACCTAGAGCTTCATCTGGGATTGCCCAATGGAGGTGACAATAAAAAGGAGAAAGAAAAGAAGCTCCCCCCCCCAGGTAGTGTACTGTATAAAGCAGTGAAAAAAGCAAGGGGGTTAAAGAAAATGTAGTGCTGTAGCTGCTAAAAGCATTTTCTTGGTGCCTTGGACTGGAGTATTCAAATGTAGGAACTGCCACCTAGTGGCCCAGGAGAAGAAGGTTTTAAACGAGACAGCAAATTCTACCCTCCTTTATTCTATAGTACAGGGGTAGTATGTCTGCAAGTTTGAGCGTTTGCAGTGAATGGAGCTCTGCTCTTCTGGAGACAATCCAAAGAAACATGAAAGAAACATTACCATTACCCTGTAATGGTAATGCAATTATTAGCCCCATCTTGGAAGACACCAACAGAGATATATTTGTGCACTCAAAAGACCAAAATTCTAGTTGGTTTATATTTTGATTAGGGCCAATCAACATGACGCAAACCTGTGCGTAGGTTTTCAAGCGCTCCAGACCCCTTCTCCAAGTAAGTCAGAGCATAAAGCAAGGACAGTTTCTTCCTACTTGCTTCTCCCTTTCAAAAGACTTCTAGAGAACTCAAAACAGCACCATCGGCACCTCCTGGTGGACCCATTAAAGGTAATTCAAATGGCCACCTCCCTATTCCAGAAATAGGTTTATCAGATACGTTTGTCATCCTTACCTCTCTACTTTGTTTCTATATCAAAGCTCAGAAGGATGGACAGTTGCTCATATTAAAATTGGCAACAACATCACTTGTGGAATGGTATCAGGTCTGCTCATAATAGCTATCCCCCCCCCCAAAAAAAATCGCACAGGTCTGGGAAAAGAGCAGCATGATTCTCCTTATATCCATAAAGGTCACCAGGGAGGATAAGAATCAAGTTAGCAGGCAATAGAGTGAAAAACTTTGACATTATCAACTTTTGTATCAGCTAGATTCTAATCCAGAGATGGGCAAATGGCAGCTTCCTTGCAAACGCTTCCAAAGGTTAACACAACAACAAAAAGATTGGGCTAAAGAATTTCAGTCTTATGTCATCCAGTAATTTTTGCCAACTAGCTATTTTACCTGTTGGAAAAGTTGAATTGGGGGGAACCTAATCTGAAAAAGAAATATTGCCCATCCCAGTGACCAGTTTTAATCATTAAAAGTAGGTCAAAACTGGTAAAGAGACCACAGAGTGAGTGCTGGTCCAGGATTTTCAGTCAAGACATTTCATAGCTTTTATTTTCCTGTTAATAAGTTGCATTTAATGGAGATAATATGATTTACCATTGCAAGAGGAATTGTGAGCTTCTGCTCTTCCCAGTGTGTGTTCCCATGAGTAGAACATTTGGACCATCTGATATTGCTGTGGAATCAGCCTGCTGGTTCTGAAGAACTTGCTTGATCTGCCACCTCCCATCACTCTGGCACCACACTACACAATCACCAGGACTTACTATCCTTAAAACAAGAATGGGTTTGTCCCTAGTAAAATCTCTTATGTGCATAACTGAATCTGGTTAGTTGTTGTAGTTGAGCCAGACATTTGAGGAATGAGCGTACACCGTCGAGGCCATTCTCCACTTGGTCTCAGGTAGGTGTGATCTGCCGTCGAAAACACCGACATGTAATGCATTTGAGGAAGCTTGTGCTGATGTAGAAAAGTCTGGTGAAGCGAAAAAGTAGGTTGTAATAGGTACTGACGGACAGTTCACCAGAGGTGTCGGCATACTTTAGGGCCACCAATGGTGTGTACAGAGGGTTTGTCTGGGTCCGGAATGGCGGGCGTTCTTTTGCAATGACATTGACCACAGCCTGTTGAAAGGCAAAGGTGGAAAGAGATAAGTGGGTTGATACATTTTAAAAAGTATTCATTTAAATCATTTCTCCTCCACTTTATCTGTCAACACTGCAAATACTGTATATTCTTGCTTTGACAATATGCAGAACTGTCTGGTATTTTTATAGTTAAACCAGGCAACAGGGAAAAAGGGAGGAGAATAAGGATAGCCCGGGAAAAAGAAACCGGAAGTAAATCACATCTTCCAAGTTGATTGGAAGATGTGAACCATGACCCCCCAAAAGGGGGGGGGAAATGCTTAGAATGTATATGCTTAACGGAAGAGAAGCCAGACCTAAGCATTTCCACCATGCTGTACTGACGTCTATGTAACCTTAATAAATGCTTTTAGGAAAAAATATGCCTGAAAGTCCTTTTAAGTGTTTTGTTAATCAGACACCTGACATTATCATCAAAACCATCCCCCAGTGGAGCCGATTCCCTTTCATGGACATTCTTTCTTCTGCTTCCTCCTTGCTGTTAGAACCATGGTTCCTGAAATGTGAGATTGACTTAAAATTTGTATTTTCTCTTCTGGAAGCAGAAAGCCATAGCTCAAAGGTGTACAGCATATTGTGATATATCCAGGATAGTCCCTTGAATTTCTAATTGAAAAGGTCTTAGGTTAATAGGACTAGGAAAGATATCCTTTGGCTGAGCCCTTGGAGAGCCTGAGCCAATCAAAACGGACATGAAAGTGGGGTGAGACATAAGAGTCTGGGCAGGTCATTCAGGAAGACCAGGTGAAAAGTTGATTAGAGGCAGCTTGCTGTTTGCTCACCTACTTACTCACCTACTTGCATCTAGTATTCATGGAATACTAGATGCATAACAGGGTAGGCAGATGAGAATGGGAAGGGAGGAATTGTTGCCAATGCCAATCACTGGAAGAGGATGGATTCTGCTTTGTATGATGGCAACCGAACTCGATAAGCAAGATCTATCTATCTAAAACAGGGATCTCCACACTTGGCAACTTAAAGACTGGTGGACTTCAATTCTCAGAATTCTCCAGCCAGGCTGAGGAATTCTGGGAGTTGAAGCCCAGAAGTCTTAAAGTTGCCAAGTTTGGAGACCCCTGACCTAGAAGAACTTTCCTTCTGTATGGCCCCTCACATCACTTGTGAGATTTCTCCTACCTTAGCCACAGACTCGGGGGACTGGCCCATGGTGGTGAATATTTCATGTGATGCTGGTAGGTAGATCTCCTTGAAGTAGTGCACGGTGGTAGCATCAACTCCTGGAAACTGAGACTTGGCCACTTCCTCCATCAACTTCATCTCAAATTCAGTGTTTATAGGGCCGGGCTCTACCAGAGAGATGCTGCACAGGAAAAAACATCCCAAAAAAGCAGTTAGCAATTGGACCCAGAGGCCATCACATCAGAATTGGCTAATATATTATTTTTACAGATGGATCAGCCTTTTCCCCTGTTCTCTAACCCTCACCCCTGGAAACCCCTCCCATGAAAGGCCCATTTTCTTTGTGGACTTCCAAAGCTTTTAACTTGTATAAAAATTATACATCTAGAACATTTATCCCATTCTTCCTCTTGAGTTATCATTCTAGGTAACCTCTCCAATAAGACTTTTTACTGCTATATCTTTTTCACAGGACACATTTGTATCATTCTGTCTCGTTTCATTGCAAAGTGAGTCCATTGCCAGTGTTGCAAATTGGACCATGAAAACCTCTGGACATCTTTTATGAACAGACACACAGAGGATCCAGTGAGTCTTTGAATTATTATTAATTTATCAAAAGCACATAATGGACTTCTAAGATGTGAATCGGCATGGAATTTCTGGTGAATATTTATGAAACAGCATTTTTTGGACAAATGGGTAAGTCCTGTTTTGTTCTGAGACAGACCCCCCTCCCCTCCCCCATGAAATTTTTTTTTCCCATCATTCCTGAAAATATTTTCTTAACTCTTATGTTCTTTTAGAAGGACTTTTCTCAGAAAGGAGAGATGGAAGGAGATGTCTCCAGATAATGCTCTGTTATCCTGAGTATGCATTACCAGGATTTGGTTTAAATTCATCGTATGTTCAAGATCCAGGAGATTTGTCTTGGGAACCTAGAGGTACTGTCTCTCTGCTTTGTTAGAGCTGCTGTTAGATTGACCTGGACTCATCTGTAGTTCCTTCATGAAGGATGAAGGAACTACAGATGAGTCCAGGTCAATCTAACAACCCCTGATTCGTCATAACTTGAGGGGACAATGCTGGAAGACCAATCTGGCCCCAGGTTTGGAGAGCTGCTGATTTTTGGACGCCTAGGGGTTTGCCTGCCCTTCCAGACTGCTGCTCAATTGCCCTATTCTTTCAGTCCCAACCTGCTTGCTTTTGAAATTAAGTCTTCAGGTGTGTCTGCTTTTGGCCCTTCCAGCCTAGTGGCTTGTTCTTGGCTTTCAATTTTGGCTTCTTAGGATGGAAACGAGCCTGTCGTCTGTCCCAGGCCAGAAATCATTTCAAAGCCTGAAAGGAGAGCCCAATTTTCTAAGTGGTTCCGGCTGACTGGAGGAATCAAATGGGCTCAATTTAACAGCAATGCACCAGGCTACGGCTCATTTATACTGAACCAGAATTCTGAATAATTCCAGGTTGAGGTGATATATCTGACGATGGCCAATATCTAGCATGAATTAAATTATTGTGGCTATAGTAATATACATTTGCATGATTGTACAATCATCCCCCAACTCACTGACTTCCAGATGTGCTGGGCAACAACTATTATCCCCAACCAGCACAGCCATTGATTACTGGCTCAATGTATAAGATTTAACTCTCCCTTGCTTTGTTTTAGCTGATTTGTGCCAGAAATATATACACCTCTTTGGGAGGATTGTTTTTCTTTTTTTCTCTTTTACACATTGATAATGTTTTGAAATTCAAATTTAGAACATGGCATTATAATAATAGTAATTAAGACTAATGTTTTCTCAGCTTTATTTTTCTTGCCGGCTGCAACATGCTTAACCCCAAATGACTCCCTCGGATTCATAACAATGCTCGTGCCAACGTTTGTACTTTACTGCATCGTCTCCAATTCTCCCAGCTTTGGCTTTGGATGTGAAAAAGAAATATGGTGACTCTGAATGTAATTAAAACACAGATTTTTGCCTTTGAATTATTAACAAATGTTGGCTTGCAGCAGCAGTGCAAAATTTGTATTTCATACTAGAAACATCCAACAAGGTCTTGTTTCAAGGCACATTCTGTGTACTATACCATGATTTACAGTGCAGATGTTCAATCCGCCAGATTTGGGGAGATGATAATTCATGAGTTTTATGATCCATGGAGCAATTTGCATACCTAATGTTTTACTTACGAGATGGTATGTAGGATGTACACGTCATCTTATCTTGTGAAGGGGTTGGATTTTGGTAGCTTTAGCCAGGTCAGTTTTCCCCATCTTTGCTTTCTTCAGACTACTAATCCTAGAATTCCTAGCTAACATGGCCAAAGCAAGGAATCCTGGGAAGTGCAATACATCTGGGGAGCAGGACCTATGGAAGGCAGCCTAAAATTACCATTTACCTTCATCATGGGTTTTCTAGAGCTGCCTTTCCAAAATGCTTGGCGTTAACAGAATTGAGAGCTGAATTTGGGGAAGAAAGGAGCGAGCTGTTGAAGGGCTCTTGCAGAAAACATGACACAGTAATGAGGAAAGAGGGAAGCGCAAGATGGAAGGACAAAATGATCTTGATCTTGTTTAGTATAAGATGGGGCAGAGAGAAACTTGAACAGGCTTTTAAAATTCTATCATGCTATCTTACTACGCCGGAAACCAGTTGAGTGTGGCGGTTAAAGTCGCCAGGCGGGAAACCAAGCAACAAGTTCAGTTCCTGCCTTAGGCATGAAGCCAGTTGGGTGACTCTGGGCCAGTCTCTCTCTCTCAGCCCTAGGAAGGGAGGCAAGGACAAACTACAGGTAGTTCTTGACTTACAACAGTTTGTTTAGTGACCATTCAAAGTTACAACAGCATTGAAAAAAGCGAGTTATGGCTGTTTTTCACACTTACGACGGTTGCAGCATCCCCATGGTCACGTGATCAAACTTCAAACGCTTGGCAACTGACTTATATTTATGACGGTTGCAGGGTCCTGGGGTCATGTGATCCCCTTTTTGTGACCTTCTGACAAGCAAAGTCAATGGGGAAGCTGGATTCACTTAACAACCGCTTTACTAACCTAACAACCTGCCGTGATTCACTTTCAGTTCATAACTCATTTAACAAATGTCTCACCTAGCAACAAATTTTGAGCGTAAGGCTAGGATTACTTGTAGCTCTGAGAACGTTGTGAAGAAAACTGCGGACACTTGTGGCCAGGAGTAGGATTTAAAGGCACAAAACAAAGCACACCTTACGTAAAGTAAAGAACTTTCCTGGAATTCTTGCCATCCCCGTTTCTTGACCTGGCCTACCTTGAAGGGTTGACATCTGGATGCTATGCTATGTCTGCTATATGGAGGCTGTATTGCTACTTGGAACTGTCCGTTGGGAAGAATGAGTAGAGGGGTGTCCATGGGGGTGGGATTAAATATGTCAAGACGCCAATCACAAGTAGGCAATCAAATCCTTCTTGTTTATGTGCAGTGTGCTACAGTCACAGCTCCCATCTTGACAAGATCTTCCCCCTTCCCTTAGGACAGGAGTTGGCAACCTTGGCTCTTTTATGACTCGTGGACTTCAACTCCCAGAATTCCTGAGCCAGCCTCACAATGCATATCCCTGGTATAGGCTCAAAACTAGGGGAGTTCTAAAATGATCCAATTGTCTTTAGCCAGGGAAAAACAGGATTTTCCACAGCTGTGAAATCCTCCTTGGTTATGATATTTTGCTGAACGGCAAAGGCTTTTATTAAAAAAAAATGTTTACAGTGCCTTGGTTGTTAGGTTACTAATCATGTTTTGTGCTGTTTAGAAGGTACTAATCAGCGCCAGCATGTTTTCTACTGCTATTTTATAGATTGTACTTAAGGCTGTTTAATTTTCAATTACATTATTGCTTAAATTGTCTATTAGCTTCCTTAGCTATTTTTTAAAAAATATGTATCATATTAGAAATATCAGACACGAAATGTCAGCAACAGAATTGGTACTGGGATATCAGTAAACTCATTTAAAAGTGTCATTTATTATTGCTAATATTACTAGTCAGGAACATTGATCACTTTAATAATAATGATAAAGTTGGAAGGGACCTTGGAGGTCATCTAGTCCAACCCCCTGCTCAGGCAGGAAACCCTATACCATTTCGGACAAATGGCTGTCCAGTTTCTTCTTAAAAACTTCCAGTGTTGGCGCATTCACCGCTTCTGGAGGCAGGTTGTTCCACTGGTTAATTGTTCTAACTGTCAGGAAGTTTCTCCTTAGTTCTAGGTTGCTTAGTTCTAGGTTGCTTAGTTCTAGGTTGCTTTAATGTCTGATGGCCTGAAATAAGCAAATCTTCTTCTCCTTCGCTAATATTTGAGAGCATAAAAATAGAGGTGTGGGTCCAATTGCTCTTATGAGTAGTTGCTAGTATATGTACCTATGTTTACGTAAAGCAACAAAACACCCATGTCATCCCTTGATGATTCTCCCACCACCCCCTCAAAATACTATTATTTTTTAAAAAGATCAACTTTCAGAAGCGCATCTCTTTTTGAAAGTTTCCCAACCTATCACGAGAGATCTCAAGAGATTTTATGGATTTTTCGTTTTCCCTCCTTTTTTGTTTTTGTGCTATTTCTGCTGAACCTGAAAATGTAGCTGAGCATGAATATAAGAGCTCAGATGCACGTGAGGCTAAATAACATTGTAATGTTTGCTTTATGGTAATGTAAAGTGCCTGGAGATGGGTTCTAATGAAGCCTCTAACATTAAATTGCCGTCTTCTCCCAATCTGCTGTCTGCATGTTGTACAAGATTCTTCCTCTTGGTGTTTAGAGTAGAAAATAAAACCAAAGAGGACGCCTTCCTTGGATTCAGAGCCCAAGGCCCCCTCAATTTTGTTTATATATGGGGAACTTGAGCTCAGTTCAGAAGTTGCTGAGTAGCTGCCATCACTGCAGCTGAGAGCACCAAGTGTGTCTAGGGCAGGGGTAGGCAACCTTGGCTCTTTTATGACTCGTGGACTTCAACTCCCAGAATTCCTGAGCCAGCATGGCTCAGCTTGGAAACCTCTCCCTTTCCCCTCAGCATGGCTGGCTCAGGAATTCTGGGAGTTGAAGCCCACGAGTCATAAAAGAGCCAAGGGTGCCTACCCCTGGTCTAGGGAGACAGAAGCTAGGGGGATGTCAGCAACTCTGCCTCTGCCCTCCAGGATCTTGCTGACATCCCCCTTTCCCTGTTGCCACTTTCTATTTTCGATTGCCACCTCTCCCCGCCTAGTGAATGCATTGGCTCCGTTTCACTCACAAGATATTGAATTTGAGGAGCTGCACAGCAAGGCTTTCGCAGAAACCCTCGATGGCAAACTTGGAGGCTGCATAGACATCATTGAAAGGGACACCTGGGAAGGAAGCAGAAGGGGTGTAAGTTTTCATACTTAGTTCCATTTATTCTTATGTTTTTCACACTTAGCCCAAACGTCCTTCGTTGCTTTAGGAAGGTTGAATTGAGAACTGAGAAAATGCCATGGACGTGCTCAGAAAATGATGGGATTAGCTGGTTACTGAGCATCTTTTTACCAATGGCAAATGGAAGGTAGGGCCCTTCTAATTTCCAGATAACTTCAATTTACCTCTTTATTTTAAGAGAAAAAAAGGCACACATTTAGACAAAGGACTAATTTTCAGCCATCATCTCTTTTTATTTTTATTTTTCAGACAGATCAATACAGAATCCAGGGGCGTCCTCGGAAACCAAACAAAGTTAGTGCTTTGCTTTGTAGCATGTTAGGTTTCCACTGAATTGTTTAAAAATTAGTCCAGTTTCCTCCAGAAGTGAGGAAACTTCCGTTTCCATTCAATGTGGTTAGTCTGTATGGATGGAAATTAGAAGGCTGAAGTCCAATAGGCCAAAACAGGAAGGCTGATGCTGTTAGCAAGAATTTGACACTCAAATATAAATGGGAGGACTCATTAGATGGTTGGGTACTGAGATCCTGAAATGGGAGGTATACATTAGAGCCTTTATAAAGTATATAATAATAATAATAATAATAATAATAATAATAATAATAATAATAATAATAATAATAATAATAATAATAATAATAATAATAATAATAA